TATAATGGATGTTTCGATTTTTCAATTCCCACACGTATTTGCTAGTTCAGTAGCGTTCCGTTTGTCAAAAGAGTTAAATGATGCTTTATGTTTCGCAAGTCTTGTTTTGAACGAGTTTTCAGTAAGGCCGACATATGTTGGGGAGGTCTATTGGTGGTGGGGATTCCCGCCTCCAAGGATATGTATCCCACAACAAGTCACAATAAAAAGGTTTAAAACAAACATGTTTCGCTTAAAATCACAATGTTGTTGTATATTTCACAATTTTCCCGAATACTTAGAAAACATGCTTAGGTTGCACTTCCGGTAGCGTGGTCAGTGACGTCAGCTACCGGCAATAAAGTCCACCGGGCATATCAATCCCATTTCCGGACACACTCCCCCATGTATATCCACGGAGTGATATGCATGTTACAGTACATCCGTATGACATACAAGTTACAACATAATAGCTAATGTCAAATATCAACTATAGAAAATTTAGTTATTAGTCTCAAACAGTTTGTTTAGTAATCGTTGTCTTCTTCTTCCGCCGTTTGTTGAATCCGCACTTCCGCCGAAGCCGCCGCAAATTTTTTTTCCGTAGACAGTCGGACTCCTCATTGATAGTCGGACGCATCATTGACCCGCGCCCTTAAACAAAACATTCAGCGGATACTATTCTTATTAGATGCGCTTCCCAGTGTTTCTTGCGCACGCAATTGGTGATTTCAAAATATTGTAATGGCAGTATTGCTTGGTTGAGATGCTAAAATCTGAGCAGGACACATTGTGGCTTCAATTATATCTTGTGTGGTGATGACATCTGCCCATATTTTATCAAGTTAAATTCGCCATTCCCACTTGCTTTTCTTTGCTTTTGTAACTGTTTTTTGTAAATCTTTTCGGAGCGATTGCAGAATACCCGTCCAATTTTAAGCTATGCCTTTCAAACATCATGGATACGATGTACTAATAGTATATACATCTATATTTCAATTCTCAATAGATTCATAATAATTAAATAGATTGATAGATTAAAATCCCATGGTGGTAAAGGTAGCAACAAGGCATACGGTAACTTAGCATTAATAGATCAAATTGTCATGGTGTTAAATCTAGCTGACTAGCTCTAATTCTAGTGGATACGTGGATACGCAGTCAATTAAGTAGTTATTTGGAGATTAATTAAGGCGACAGTTAGTTAGCATTAATAGATTAAATTCTCATGCTATAGAAAGCTTAAATGTGGTGTAATATGTAAATATGTTCCTCACAACCGGACATTGGTGTTTGACAGATTATGATTAATTAGCGTCGCTGGGAGAAAAAAAATAATATACTATAAAGCATACTAAGCATAATATTAAACATTAAAAGTCTTGCATGATATTTCCGTTATAGTATCAATTCGTAATATTATCTTAGTAATCAGTTTGTGTATATTAGAACGAGGCAATAAGATCTGGTACATACGTATCCAGTGAAATAGTGGCCGGGCTACATGATATGATATATTACTAGTGCACGGGTATTCTGCAATATTTCTATTTGTGGAAAGTAGTCTTAATGGTCGCTTTGAATCTTTCAGTATTTTCGTGCACACTAGTTATCTTATCCTGATTCTCTTCAATTGGGATATATAGTTTTACTGACTCGCAATAACAGTTCTTAAGTATTTTCGGAACAAGAAAAAACAAGTTTGTAGATATATTTGCTATGGCATCGCGAAGCAAATCGTTCACCTTTCTACACGTGGTCGAAGAAGAACAACGTGGAGTGATGGATATATGGTGCACCAGTGGGTTACGAAGGGATCCATCAATAACGCGCGGAGGCCTGGACGCTGGTCAATGATGCGTCCGACTTTCAATGAGGAGTCCGACTGTCTACGGAAAAAAAATTTGCGCGGCCGCCGCATCTCTTTTTGGTATTGGTTGATACGTGGGTGCATTTGCGTCAAGTTGAGGTGGTTGTTGCCAATCGCAGGACAGTTCTAGGGGACACAGGTGTTGAAGGGCACGTTCAAAGTTGCCAGTACCAACTCTTAATTTTGCAGCTCTTGTGATTCCATCTCTTCCCTTTATCAATTCAGTGACGATCCCTAGTTTCCACGTATTCCGGTTTTTCTTTTCGCTCTTGATGATCACTACGTCTCCGACGCTCGGGTATGGTGTTTGTTTTCCTCCAGAGCGACGATGTTGCTTACGAAGACTTCTTATATACTCTCATGTCCAACGATTCCATACGGCCTCTTTACATTTCTTAACATGTTTGGCTCGCTTCCGTAAGTCTGCTTCGTCAACGTGGTAAGCCTTCAGCTCAGGTAGGTGATTAGGATTAATGGTTAACATCGAGGTAGGGGTTAGTAGTGGTAGTTGGACGTCGTCCTCTACGTAACTCAGAGGCCTATTATTAAGAGAGACCTCTACGTCGATCACAACTTCCTCGAGCTCCGTCCATCTTAATGTGCGATTCCCTACTGTCTTGTAGAAGGCATTCTTGAAAAGGCCAATTAAACGCTCAAATTAGCCTCCCCACCAAGGAGCACGACTCAAGTTAAATTGCCACTTGATGGAAAGACCAGCCAGGCAATCATTAAGTCGTTCATCTTTCTGCACTTGTCGGAGCCATTTCTTGGTGGCCTTGAATGTCGAACCATTGTCCGAGTAAATAAGTTTTGGTCTGCCTCGGCGTGCGATAAACCGTTTAAGGCTTATGATGAATTCGGTTGCTTTCAATGACTTCAGTAAATCTAGATACAACGCTCGTGTCAGGCTGCATCCGTACAAGGCCAGATATGCTTTGCTTTCAGTTCCGGGCTTCGATTGGTAATAAATTGGGCCTGCAAAGTCCCCCCGATTACTTGGAATGGCGCAGACCCTTCTGTCCTTGTGCTTGGAAGGTTTCCTGGGGGTGGGGATTGGTATGCTTGGGCTCTTGGGGATTGGTATGCTAAATCTCTTGCAACCCGAGCAGGCACTTCTCACTTTCTTGACCAAGCGACGCAATCTGGAAATCCAATAGACGTCACGTACCTTTGCCATTAGAGACCTTAAGATTGACGTTTACGGCAAACGTCAAACCGCTAGCGAAGTTTTTGATTTTACAACTCTATTATAATAGCTTTTACACCAGTTTTGAAATATGTTAAATTTATTAAACTTGTGCTCTTTAGCAATGATTTAAGAAAGCAAATTAACCACTAGTCATGCCATTCACCAAAGCAGTAAATTACGATTTGGCGTTTGAAGTTGGCGTTTGGCGTATAGATTTCATGCTTGAACTGCTACGAGGGCTTGTAGTCGTTAAAGCATGAAATTTATACTTCAAACGTCAACTTCAAACGCCAAATCTTAATTTACTGCTTTGGTGAATGGCATGACTAGTGGTTAATTTTCTTTCTTAAATCATTGCTAAAGAGCAGAAGTTTAATCAGTTTAACATATTTCAAAACTGGTGTAAAAGCTACAATAATAGAGCTGTAAAATCAAAAACTTGGCTAGCGGTTTGACGTTTGTCGTAAACGTCAATCTTAACGTCTCTATTGTCAGCGAGACACCACCGTGTAATGTCGATAGATGCGCTTGTCGTACAATTCCGTGCGTAAAGGGATGACTATCTGGCAGGTAGATCGGGAACTCTCCTTCAATTCGTCCTCTGCATTCAAAGATATCTTCGCTGTTTAGCTGCAGGTTCAGTTGCAACTGGTCTTCTTTGAAACAGAGTCTTTCTTGACATTCTAGTTGTGCTCGCTTGGTCCACCAAAGTCTCTGTTGTTCAATCTCGATTGTGTTCAGTGGACCATCTTGCCGGTCTCCAGCTCGGGACCTACAGTTGCTGATAAACCTCTGAATCCATGCACAAATTCGCAGGACTTTGTGCGCTTCGCGAGCATCAAGAAGTTGGTCAAAATCATCATGGACCTGTGCTGTTGCAGCAAAGACGCTTCGAGTCACCTTTAACTCCGCGTTGGAATCTGCGTTGGGCTCTAAGATTATGTCTGGCGGCCATTCAGTTTCTTCGCTCAGCCAACTCGGGCCTTGGTTCCATAGCTGATGATGATCAACGCTTCAGCCGCGGCTGCCCAAATCTGCGGGGTTTTCGGTGGTCGGCACGTGATGCCACTTGACGTCCTGATGCTGCTGTATCTTGTGTACCCTGTTCGCAACGAAGTTGCGTACAGTATAGTGCCACAGATCCAGTATAGTGCCACAGCCGAATCAAGCCAACAATGTACCGACACTGTGTATAGATCGATGGCCAGTTGAACATTGGTTGCAAAATTGATTGCCATATGGCCAGCCACTAACTCGAGCCGGGGAATGGTTAAATTCCGCTTTGCCAACCGAGATTTCGGGCAGACGAGTCCTTGAGTTGTCCCATTTTCCTGCTGGACGACCGCGTAGACTGCCTCGCATCTCCGAATACGTGCAACACAATTTCTAAGATTGGCTGTTGATATGGGGCAGAGTTCGCTTAACCACGATGTAACTTGACAGTTTGGAGTACCACTCGATCCATTGGTTTTTCAGTTCAGCTGGAAGTTCACTGTCCCGCGCAATGTTGATCTCACACATCTCACGATAGAGAATTTTTCCTTGCAAAGTTGTTGGTGAGGCCAGTCCCAGGAGGTCATAGATCTTTGCTAGTTGAGACAGAGCGTTCCGTTTTGTAGATATAGTTTCATCTTTGTGCAAACCAACTTTGAAGGTGTCTTTATCCTTGTCCCACGCTAGTCCCAAAAGCTTTGTCCCCGGTCGGCTCACTCCTAATTGCTGCTTGGCGTAGGTTAACTCATCATCTGCTGATGGTGGATTACTGCTGGCTTCGAGTTCTCTTGCATTCGAGTGCCATACATACATACATACATACATACATCAACTTTATTTAAACACGGAAAATCATCAGTATAATTATTTACAAAAATATTAAAAAATTTTAAAAGGAGCAAAAAGAAATATAGATACTGTTCTACCTGATTGCCGTGTGGGAGTCAGATCGATTATTTATTAAGAAGGCTTCTAAACCTGTTTTAAATGCAGCGAGAGAGGTTACTGATCTAAGAGATTCTGGCAGGCCATTCCATAAAGAGGCTCCACTGTAACTGAAGGAGCGTTTCAAATAATCTGTGCGTGGTTTTGGGACATAAAGTTTACCATAAGAATCTCTCAGGTTATAAACACTCTCACTGGGAGAAAACATCTCTTGTAAATAGAATGGTGTATGTTTATTAATAGTATTAAACATGAGGATTGCCTTTTGCTTTAATCGCTTAGTGGACAATGATTCCCAATTAAGTTCTTGAAGCGTGAATGATGCGTCATGGAGTTCGTGAAGCGTGAATGATGCGTCATGGAAAACTTCAATGGCTGTGGATTTCTTTGTTTGCACATCGTCGACTGTTGTACCACCAGCCATGAGGTCGTCCACATACAGGCCATCGCGAATCTCTTTAACAATCTCAGGATACTGCCGTTCCCACAGTTCGAAGTGTTGATTGAGGACTCCTGCGAGAAGGAAAGGGGATGAGGTTAGCCCGAACAAGGCTCTCGTAAAACGGTATATTTGAGTTTCGGTACTGCCGGGTGCTCTCCAGTGGAACCGTAAGGAATCTCTCTCTTCTTCCTTTATTCTAATTTGCAGAAATGCTTTTTGCAGGTCACCTGTCAACAGGATCGGGTGGAATCGTGATCTTATTAAAATGTTCCAAAGTATGTTTTGGAAAGATGGTCCTGGTTTCAAGCAGTCGTTCAGGGAGGGATGCTTCACATTTTCCCGCGCAGACGCGTCGTAGACCATCCGCAACTTCGTACTTTCCGCATCTTTCTTAGAAACTCCTTTATGTGGTATGTAGTATTCCTTGCCTTTGGGTACTGTAGGTGCTCTTTCAATCACACCGCTCTGAAGCTGCTCCTGAATTATGCTGTCATAGTCTTCATAATTCCCATCTCGCTCGAGCCGTTTGACAAGTTACTGTAATCTTCTTCGGCTGCCCGCTTCGTTCGTTGGCAATTCTGGGTGGTTGGCCTTCCAAGGTAACTTCGTCTCATACCAACCAGCCTCGTTTCGTTGAAGTTGCTCTTTGAATTCCTGGTATACAGTTCCCTGATCGTTCTCCGGTTTGTCAGCAAGTCCAAGCACATCCAAAGATCACAGCTGCTCATAGTCCATGCTGACTGATCGAGTTAGCAGAAGTGGGCTTGTCACATCCTCTCTACCAGGCGACATTAACACCCAACCGAGGCGAGTACGTTCAGCAATGGGTTGTCCGGGTTTCCCAACTCGTGGCGCTGCTGTTGTCTTGATATATTGGCATACTCGTTCACTCAGAGAACTACATGTATAGGAAGGTGTGGTTTGTCATCAAGATCATCTATCTTCACTCACTTTAAATGGTTATACTTGCTCAGCAGCTCTTCATACCGAGGATTATCGATTTCCATCAGGTGTGGCTTATGGACTTTCGATAGTTCGACTTCCATTGTAAACTGACCATCAGTTCCCTTGATAGTTGCAGGGTAGATTTCAACTCTGGTTGTTGTTGAGCCGAGCATCATTTCAATCCGTTTTGTTTGGATCTCCTTCGGTTTCTTGTTCAGAGCGTCTATAAGTTTGGCTGAAGTATAGCAGCTCCCCGATCCAGTGTCGAGTAGCGCTCGTGTCTTTATCCCATCGACTTCAATGACCACAACAGGATAAATAACTTGGTTGTCCCCTGCCCTATGGGCTGACATGAACCCCTCAGGTTTCTTTGGATTTTCACAGATTGAGGTGTGGTGTCTTCTAGCACAGTTGTGACATGTCACAATACTTTTACATTCCGCTGCTCTGTGGGAGGGTCCAGTACAGTTGAAACATAGTTTTTTTTTTGCTAGGATTCTCCTGCGTTCTTCTAATGTTTTAACGGTTGGGCAGGTTGTCCATTTATGATCTGCAGCATTGCAATATACACATGTATGCGAAGTCCCCGTCCCTTGACGAGTGTGGTAATTCCGACCAATTCTGTTAGTCGTTTTCGATCCTTGTCTTCGGAATTGGCATTCTCAGCAATCGGGTTCCTTCTCGTCCAAAGTCGAAGAACCTCTGTAAGCTGTATGAAGTCCCATTTCTCCCAGTCATGGTCAGTACGAACGAGATCACCTCTGATAGCTGGCAATTTGTCTAGGGTCATTGCTACTGCACCGTCTACTTGAGAAAGTTTATTCATAGTCTGGAGTGATTGGACATTGTATGTTAGTTTCTCACAGAACTCATGAATCTTCCTCGCATTTGCTGTCAGAACTGGAGGAAGCTCGAATATTTCCTTTGCGTACGCCTTAACAATCTCGCGTTCTTTTCCGTACCGCTCTTTAAGGATTGCTACTGCTCTGTTATAGCCCTCTGCTGAATATGGCAGGGCTTCTACAGCTTTCCTGACCTTGTCATCTAACAGTTGTCTCAAGTATGAAAATTTGGTAATTGCTGGCAAACAGGATTTGTCGATTGACTCTGTAAATTGTCCCCAAAATCTATTCCAGTCAGTAAATGTCCCGTTAAATTTGGTGATGACTAATTTAGGTAATTTCGCTTGAATATTTGTCGCTTCGCTATGAGATTTGGGAGAACTGTTTTGATTTCCCTCGTGTTCTGCCTTGAATTTAGCTTTGGTCTCTTGTAATTTGACTTCGAATTTAATCTGCTCTTCTCTCTCGTACGTTTCGCGTTCTGTCTTTCGACTATTGAGCCACTATTTCAATATTTCCACACTTTGATCTCCCTTTGCAATTTGTGTCACTATATTTGCATTCCATGCATCTAAATCCTCGTCCTTTACTTGCTCTGTTATTTTTAGCGCTTCGATTTCTATACGCAGTTGATCTACTTCAATTATCACAGTTCTCAGAGTTTTTTATGTCTTTCTATCGCTTCTGCTTTACCATTATCCACAATAGACTTTGTTCTATTCGTTGTTATGTTTAATTGAATGAGTTTTGTCTTTAATTTCCCTTCAGCGACCTCCATTGTCGACAATATTCGCACGGCAAAGCTTTAATCTCGAACTACAGGGTGTATCAAAAAAAGCGCAATCCTCGACTGAAATGTAAATTGCTAAACAAATAATAGACGAAAACGTTAAAGTTTAGATTCATTTTAAAGCGTAGCCATTCAGCTTTCTAACAGTGGGTTGTTTCTTAAATTTGACTCATTGGTTCGCGGCTAATAATATTTTACGTTATTTCAATTGGAGATGAAAAAAAATTGAGATGGAATAACAAATCGTTCTCATGAAAAGAACTGATTTTTTCATTAAAACAAAAAAAATGTTGCATTTTATTAAATGGATTGTAACAATAAGTATAATTACGGCTTTTCTTCCACTATTTTTAACTCAGCTTGAAACTTCAAATGCGATATAATTTTGGCTTGGACCATCTAAGCTGACTGACATCAACTTGCTATAATTTCTGTTTACATTACATTACATCGCAATTCGATGACACTCTGGCTCAGACACCAGAATGTTTTGACGATTTTTAGCATTCGTTTAGATTTTCAAACAACCTGGTCTCTTTTAAAATACTTTTAATTTGTTCTTACGTGGTTTTCCAGATGTAGTGACGACAACATTAAAGTTTAAAGAAGAAAATTCTAACATTTAAACCGACTAAACAATAACATAGTAAACTTGCATAATTAAACAGCAACTAGAAATGATAGGTTTTACTAAATCTTTTCCTGTGCAACTATTACTAGCTTTGGAGACAAGGATAATAGTTTGTTTGAAAGAGAAAAGAACAGACTTTGAAGTAAGGCTAAAAGCGTTTAAGTAGAAATAGTATTTCGAAAGTTATTAAGCACAAAAGATGAATTGCGTTTATTTTGATACACCCTGTATATATATATATATATATATATATATATATATATATATATATATATATATATATATATATATATATATATATATATATATACCGGGTGGGGCAAAAAAGAGCGTTGACACTAAAACAAGTTTATTGGTATTCAGCGATATCCAACTTAAATTTTGATATATGCCATGCACATTTCCATGCCACATTGTCAAAGATACATGCATTTAAACACGAGTAAACATTTCTGGAAGTGACGAAATTAGCTAAAAATGGCTTATTAAATATTAATATTTACAACATGCAATAACTTGTGTTAAGATGCTTTTTTCTTTATTGTCAGTACGTTCATGCTTGTGGTTCAAAAACAGTCGTCTATATTCATCAGCAAATGCATGTCCCCCAGCACGAATGCAACGTCTTGCCCGTGATATCATACAATCGAAAGAATTTTGGATCATTTGCTGTTTCAAGTTGCGGCATGCTGTAACAATCGCTTCACGAAGCACTCTCAAATTGTGCTTCAAATTGAGTTATATGATTCGAATATAGACTTGTCCCAATGAATTGGAGATACTCACTCGTGTCGAGATTTCTTTCAACAAAGTGTGGTCCCAGAACAATTGACCTCGTCAAAGCAACCCACTGATTGAAACAATAATCGCGAAAAAATGGTAAAGATTATACAATTGGTTTTAATAGGGCCTTTCAGCCAATTCTCGGCGGTTCCAGAAATGTTTGCTTAAGTTTAAACACACTTATCTCAGTCAATATTGCATGAAAAAGTACACGACATATATCAAAATTTAAGTTAAACATCGTGGAATATACCGTGACTTATTTAAGTGTAATAGCTGTTTTACTTTTTACGTTATAGTAAATCAAACTGTCGTACTTTTTTGCCCCACACGGTATATATATATAGATATATAGATATATATATATATATATATATATATATATATATATATATATATATATATATATATATATATATATATATATATATATTTATCACATACTTGTACCTTTATCGGGTAGGAAGCAGCGGGACATAAAAACGATATCGTCCGCATATCGTTTTGTGTCCCGGATATTATTTTTTGTCCCGCTACATTTCGCGTCTTGTCAAAACAAAGATGACTGACTCGAGGTTCGTGCCGGTTGATGTCGACAGTTTTATCGAAGGAAACAAGAACGATAATACAAAACGAAAGACAAAATGTGATCTAAGTTTATTTAAATAATTTTTACAACAAGTTCAGAAAACCGACGAGGATGTGGGGAGAAAAGAGCCAGGTAGATTGGATTTGTACAAAGAAAATACAGAAGGTAAACTAAGTAAAATATTTATTTTCCTGATCGTTTTACAGTATGAACATGATTGAGGATCGAAATGCTTTTTGACAGACAAAAACAAATTTTAGTTGGCGAAAACAATGTTCATTGCAACAGTAGTAGTTTCTTATAACAAAACAATTATTCTACCCACTCTCGTCGTATATGATTGACATCCGGGGCAACTCGACGCTGTGCACCTCGTCGACTATCAGCTCATGCATGCATATACGACTCGAGTTCGCCGCAGAATATAACTGTTAACTAGCTTGCCAGTATAGAGGAAACAGAAAGTTATTCGCTTTTAATAGCATTAAGAGAAATTAGACCGGAATGAAAATACGCCCAGCAAATGTTTACAGCACATGCATCAAATAGATTTTTAATATTTAAAGTAGTTAAACATTTTATTTTTAAACCTGAAAATAATGTCGATGCATGGAGTGAACTTCAAGATAAAAACATGAACAGAATATAATCTTATTTGAACAAATTAACTGAACTAAAAGCAAGATCAATTTATAGATGTGAAATTAACAAGTACTTGTTTTGTCTAAAAAGCCTTAAATGTTTAAACATTTAGAGTTTTCAGCAATGTTTCAAGTGTTTTAAAGGAATGAGCAGCAGCGGTTTATCAGGTTTATTTAGGAACGTTGTGTGGAAATAGCTATAAACTAACTGCCAAAATAATCCTGTGTAGGCCTGCATATGAATCTACGAAATCATCCTAGCCTTGTTCATACGTATATATAGTTATTCCAGTCAAGTGCACTTCCCAAAAACATCTGCTCACAAGAAGAATTAACGGTGTAAAAAAGTCAATTTAAATTCTTACAAAAGACAACATAGAGGGCATCTAAATTTAAGAGAGAAAATAAGCTGCTGCTCAAAAGTGAGTCGCGAATGACTTGTATACCTTGTTGATTTATTCAATATGCACCGCAGCTAAACCAGCCTTGAAAACTTGGCCTAATAATTGCGGTTTGATATTTAATTCATTTCCATGCACAGAATGACTAATTTCATGTCAAACTTTTTTCCAGCTATACAGTGACAACCTGTGATCCCTACAGTTAGCGGTTGTTTACAGCAATGATACGATGCATGGGTCTGCACAACTCTCAATCAGTCTGGAAGCAATTTCTACAATGTTCGTAGCACGAGCATCGAAAAGCAGAAAAAATGTCTGTTAATTTACCTTGAAGACTTGAATTGTAGCAAATGGACGAAATTTCATCTGCTTTGCCTTGAGCAAGTAGGGAGAATATACATGAAGTGAAAACGCACAACAAATAAAATTTCAGATGCATTGTTAGTCAACCAAAAGTTATGCTCCAGCAGTTTACTATCCAATGCTTTCTTCCCTAAAATATAAAATGCGTTGCTTAAAAAAATAATTGCGAGTCTATCATATTATGCATTCACTGCCTAATATATTTAGATGCACTACAAGTCTTTTATTATATAATTGAATGTATATATTTTCAGTATACTATATATATGTCGGTTTAATATAGAAGTTATCTACAGTCATGATCAATCGGTATATTTGAAATAAAGATCGAACTACGCTGCAACTAGTATACTTTTGAGGTATAGGGTTGAAAACGCGGAACTGACTCGACTTGAACTTATTTTCTTACCTGAGTCTGAAAATCAATTTCTAAAATATTCGAAGACAAATTGAAGCTATATATTATACAAATATTGTAAGAAAATGAACCACAA